GAACCCGGGGCCCGCGAGCTCCAGCGGGGAATGGAACCCGGGGCCCGCGAGCTCCAGCGAGGACTGGAACCCGGGGCCCGGAACTCGCGAGCTCCAGCGGGGAATGGAACCCGGGGCCCGGAGTCCGTGAGCGGCGATTAGAATCTGATCCTGCAGCTGCAGGACCAGCCGGCGTGATTAGCGTTGCATTGACCCAAAGAAAACGAAGGTACCGTTTAGCTAATCATGGCAGCAGGTACTGAGCGTTTAGATTTTGCCACAACAAAGTTACTCCAAACGGAAAACAAGGAAGACCGTGAAGTTACATTCATTCGGAAGCAAGATAACGTTTACAGTAAAGTAGGAATGAGGGTGAATTAACAAACACGATAAAAGCAAAATACTGCAGATGCTGGGGGAAAAAAAAGTGCTGGAAATACTCTGCAGGTCAGGCGGAGTTAATGTTTGGAGTCGAAAATCTTCTCCATTCTGCCAGCCGCCTCCGAGCTCAAGCTTCCCAGCAACGTCAAATACCGACTATTGTTCATTTCCAAATCCCCTCCTAACCACATCGTAGCAAATCTCTATGTACTATTATAATAAAAGCAAAGTGACGGAGTAACTCAGCAGATTGCCAGGCATCTGTGGAGAGAAAAGTAATATCGGACTCGGAAATTATCTTTCTCTCTCTCTCTCCAAATGCTGCCGGACCTGCTGTGTTTCTCTAGCCCCTACTAATTTTTTGTTTCCGATTTAAAGCATACACGGTATTTTGCTTTTATTCCTTTGTACTGCTACCTTGATGGGTTTATGCTGGCCGGCCACGTCTCTGAGCATTGGATCTCGAAGTTACTGCCACAGATATAGAGAATCACTTCCAATTCACCACAAGACTCTCTAGTGTTCCTACACTTTAGAAATCTGGTCACCTGAATTAGAGCTGATCTTATGGAAACATTGAGTTCTAAGAGAGCTTGACATGAATCTCCGATGAGGGGTCCAGTTTCAAAATAATGTTCTCCAATATGTTACGATCCCTGATCAAAGCACCAGTGTTTTGTAACTATGTGCTTAGGAACCATAACTTTGTTTTAGAAAGTACACAAGATATGAGATCCAGGAGACTTAGAGAAGAAAACCTTACAATTCCATCGTTTTGGACAAGGAGCAGTATTATTTACTACATAACACTAAAACAGTAATACAATCTAGAACATATGCGCAACTTATTTCTAACACTTGGAATTGTTGTAAATATTAGTGAAAGTCTGTAATGAACACTCTGCAGCACACTTCAAATAGCAAATGCAATTCAAGGCAGGTCCCATGAATTTTTCAGCAACTCCCCACAGATGTTGATAGTATGGTGAGCCATCAATGCCATTAAACTTTGCAAGGGATCACAATTCTTTGCCTTTGTCGATCTGGCCTTGAAACTCCATCTCAATAGCCATTCCATCATGGACTGCCTCAGTGACTGCTCTTGTTCTGAATGATCACTGTCCTGTCTGGGTCCATGCTGCATTGGACTCTGAAGCATGAGTACAGCTCATCACTAACAGCTAGCTATACCAAGCTAAAACTGTCCTTGAGTTTTTATCCCAAGTTCTTATCTTGTTCAGTTGCATCCAGCAAATACTGCTCGTGAGTGTTTCAACCCTCAGTCTCCACCATACTGAACCCTTAATTGTGTACAGGCTTCTTTCAAACCGTCCACAGTTCTTAGGACTTCACTAGGAATGAGATGAGGAGAAAATGTTTCACTCAAAATGTTGTGAATCTCTGTTGTAGAGCATTGTGGGTAAAAATACATTTAAAACTGACATCATTGGAGAAGGATGCTCCACAAATATTCCCATACTCCATTATGGGGGAGCCCAGCATGTTGGTGCAAAAGATAAGCATTCACAACAACCTTCACCCAGAAGGGCGGAGTGAATTAGTCATTTCGGACTCTTCTGCAGGTCCACAGTATCACAGATGTCAGTCTTGAGTCAATTCAATTCACTCTACATAACATCAAGAAATGGCTGGAAGCAATAGATACTGCAAAGGCAATGGCTCCTGACAACATTCCAGCAATAGTACTGAAGACTTATGCTCCAGAATTTGCTGTTCCAGTGGGGCTACAACACTGGCATCTACTGAACAATGTGGAAACTTGCCGAGATAGATCTTTGTGCAAAAAGTAAGACAAATCCAAACGCCAATTACTGCACCATCAGTCTATTCTCCATCAGTAAAGTGATGGAAGGTGTCATCAACCATGTTATCAAATAGCGCTTACTCAATGATAACCTGCTCACTGATGCCCGGTTTGAGTTCTGCCAAGGCCATACGGATTTGGTTCAGGCATGGATAAAAGAACTGAGTTCCAGAAGTGAGGTGAGAGAGGCTGCATTTGAACCAGTGTGCCCTTAGCAAAATTGTAGTCAATGGGAATCAGGGTAAAACTCTTTGCTGGTTGGAATCATACCTAGGACAAAGAAAAATGGTTGTGGTTGTTGGAGGTAAGTCATCTGAGCTCCAGGATATGTCTGCCAGAGTACCTCAGGGTAGTTTCCCAGCCCAACCATTTTGAATTCCATCATCAGTGACCTTCCCTGCATCGTAAGGTTAGAAGTGGGGATATTCGCCAATGATTCCACAATGTTCAACACCATTCGTGATTCCTGTTACATGAATTAAAAAATATGAATTTTTATTCATTCACAGGATGTGGGCTTCACTGGCTAGGCTTACCTTTAAAACCCATCCCAAAAGGCCCTGGAGAAGGTGGTGATGAACTGCCTTTTTGAACTGCTGCAGTACTTTAAAGTTAGGCACATCTACAATTCTACTAGGAAGGCAACTGCAGGATTTTGAACCAGAAACAGTGAGGGAGTGCCAATAAATTTCCAAGTCAGGATGGTGAATGGTTGGAAAGGATCTTGCTTACGTAAATCGCTGTGCAATCTACCAAGGTGGTCACTGGGAAATTCATATCTCTCTAAAAATCTAAAAATTTGAAAATTGCCAATGGTGTTGGACAGGAAAGGAAGGGCTACACTGTATCACAGTGGATTGAACTTACTGGCTGTCTAGAATGATGTTTTGCCTACATCAGATAGTAGGTCAACATGAGAAACACATCACATGGAAAGTAATAATATGTCACCACTGCGGCCACACTGATCAGTTGGTCTTAAAGCTCATCTGGAAATGTGTCAATATTTCTCAGAATGAAAAATGAAGCAGAAAGACATTGGTATGAGTAGACCATGACTTAAAATATAATAGAGTTTGGAACTGGAAAAGATCTTTCGACATTGAGGTTCATTTTTAAGAATTGGAAAGCTCAAATGTACAGCAGGTCGACTTCCCTATTCCATCAGCATGTGAGAATACACTACGTTCACTTCTTTGCTGTTTCTCAATTGAGAACAAACAAAAAAAGTCTATGATACATTTTACTCCAAAGTTAACTGTATAGCTGCAGTGCTGTCTGTCCCTCAGTGAAACTACATAGGTATTTACAGGACTGGTATTACATTCCGCAATATTTAGGAATCCAAGTCCTCCTGAATGTGTCTGAATCTTACCTCTCGGAAATGCTGCCTGTATAGGAGCAGGAGTCTAAATTACACAGAGAAAGCTGAACCAAATTAGCCTTTTTACCTCTGTATTCACAATACAGTAAAATTAAACTGTCAAAGACCCCAATAATTACCCCAATGGTTCCTAACCAGACTTTTGAAATAAATGATCCCTGACTTTGTGAATAATTAATTCCAGACACCTGTTTTGTATCGCAAACAAAAGACATTTATTTGTTAAATATTCAATAATTTTAGCAGAGTTTAAAAAGCACAAGCTGATTAATGTCTGTGCTTTAAACGTAAAATGCTTGTTTTCAGCTCCTATTCACACAAAAGACAGATGAACAAATAAAGCCAAGCGATAAAATAAAAGCAAATAACAAAACTGGCCAGATTACTTAAATGTCTTTCACAAATGCGTTGTCTCATGGGCATAAATATGAACTCCTTGATTGCTTTCCTGGAACTACCCATTAGGGTCACCTTCTTCTTCTCAGTTCACTCAGATATAGGTAGTAATATTTTTAACTCAACTTTCCACTATTTGGGCTTCCAGAAGCTGGTGTGAAGAATTAGGCAGAAAGTGTCAAATCTTCATGCTGTCATATTAGCAGCCAAGCTCATCTCAGGAAACATAGTTCAACAAAAGCATGGTGACTCAGTGATGAGCACTGCTGCCTCACAGTGCTGGGAACCTGGGTTTGATTCCACCCAGGGGTGACTGTCTGTGTGGAGTTTGTACATTGTCCCCGTGTCTTTGTGAGTTTCCTCTAAGAGCTCCGGTTTCCTCCCACCGTCCAAATATATACAGGTTAGGTGGATTGACGATGCTAAATTGCCCATAATGTCCTGGGATGTGCAGGTTGGGTGGATTAGCCATGGGAAATTCAGGGATAGCGTAGGAGGGTAGGTTTGCACCTCTGTGAAGGGGTGGTGTGGACTCAGCGCTGAATGACCTGCTTCCACACTGTGGGGATTCTGTGATTTTAAAACAACTTCAATTCTGGTCAAAGTTATTTATGGGTGAGAACAGGTTCATGTTCTTTGTGAATAGGCCCAACTAATCTTTTGTCCCCTTCACTGTCCAGCCACACTATCTGATTTGTTTTTCCTTTATTCATTCACAGGATGAGGGTATTGCTGCTAGGCAGCATTTATTGCCCATCCCTAATTTCCCAGAGGACAGTTCAGAATCAATCACATTGCTGTGGGTCTGGAGTCACATG